TTATTCAAATCAAAAACTTCATAACAATGGTTCATCACATCCTAACAATATAAAAATGTATCCAAGCATATTGTCAAAATCAAACGCAGAAAGGATACAAGATATCACCAAAAATCGACGAAACGTGACTAATTCCCACTTAATTGTTGATAAATTATCGAACAAAGATTGGGAATTAATTCCAATTTCCAAAACTGCAGCCCACTCTTGTGTATGTCCTCTCTTCTGCTAGTATGTGTAACTGTCACCAACTTATATTTATCTCCAGAGCTTGCCCAATTTCCCGTTAACTTCCAAAAATCTGCCTTTTTTCTTTTAATTTCTAGCAACTGTCGAATTTGTTTCTTCCAAAGACCCCAAACAGCTGCCCAATTTTTGTGTTTTTGTGTGCTTATATATATATATTTCCACCAGACAGCTCATGTTCTATATATCTATATAGAAAACGAGATATATATCTAGATATATAGAAAATGAGATATATATCTATACATAATGTGGCAGCCCCATCTTCTTTGAAGGTGTGTCCTTTATATATATATTCATGCTGGAAACCTTTTGAATTTAGATCGAAACAAAGTCCACAAATGAGGACCGTTGAATACTTTATTTCCTTCAAGTCCTCACTTATTTTAAAATCATACAATTCAATCCTTAAGCCAATTACTTATGCAACCATTGTCTTTCTTTGATTCAATTCATGTATCTCACTTTCCAAAATATGATATTTGATCTCCAAACTTTGCATCAAATAACCAATTTAGTCCTCATGCTTTGGAGTTTTTCATTTCTTTGCCGATTTTTGCTCCCTTCCTTCGATTCCCTTTTTATTCATAGAATTTACATATTAAATATAAAAAATAATAATTTAGGATATATTTTGTCAAAAGAAAAAAAAGGAGCATGAAACTACTTACTTCCCTCCAAATTAAGTATTTAAATCAGGAAGAAGGATTGGCCCTTGAGTGTAAAGAATTAATCTCTTCTCTACCTAAAAAAAAAAGGATGGATTTCATTTTATCTATATTGGGATTCTACTTATCATACGCAACGGAAAATAAAACAAATTTCAATTCCCACCAAGAATCTGCTTTGTGTTTATATAAAAACTGTGATAGAGATTGAACCTTTTATAAGATCTGCTAACTCCTTTGATATTCTTTTGTTCCAATGATCTTGATTTGCCACTATAGTTATCTAATTACCCAATCTCCAATAGTAATCCATATAGAGAAACAGATTGTGACAATTAGGGTTTTTCTTGTACTAGCAAGAATAATGTATTTTCTCTACAGATCCAAAACCTTAGCTACCTATTTGTACAAAGCCAAACGGGCTTAGCCCATCTCCTAACCCAGTCCAAGATTTAATTAACCCATTTAATTAAATCCAGTCCATCAATTAATTAATCCAGTAAATTAATTCGGGCCAACAAATAAGTAATCCAATTAATTTATTTATCCAACACTTGTTAAATTAATTAATTGGTAAAACACAATCTTCCAGTTCTCCTTTTATGTGTGATCCATCCGGTTCCCAATCACCATGTCTAATTTTCTAGAAATGTAAATTATTATTTGATATAATCAAAATCAATAAAATAAAACACCATTTTAATTTATCACCTACTCACGTTCGTCATCTTAGATTAATATCTAGCAGTGTGTCAGAACAACATATGTGACAAAAAATGTCACGTGGTATGACAAAATCAAACTCGTTTGTTTACCGTGAAATATAATCTCTTCGTCAATATGATCCGATCAATTACGAGATATGAAAGTGCGACAATCCTGATTATTGTTCATATCTTTCATTGCATTATTAAGTCAATATAAGTCGAAAACTCATTTTCAATTTATGAGTACACCTTGGCCAATGATTTCGTTATCGATTTAATTGAATGAAATGTGGATCATTATCCCTTGCTATCTAAGAGTGACAAATTCTCTATTGGTCATTCACAACCTTCATATGATTCTTGACATGTCCGAACAATGCGTAATAGCGGTTTTTGGCAGAGCAATATCCAACACCGCCAAAGTATGACTGTCCTCATATAAGGCATCGTGACGACCTCAAGTCAAATGACCAATTTCACTATTAAACGTTAGAGATTAACCACTGACATTCAGATAGTTATCCATGTGGAATCTTTCAACGGGTCTCCAATGTTTTGTTATATAACAAAACATCTACGTGTTCATTTAAGTGTCACCACACTTTAGTTTGTGAGATCAGATACTTACTTCACAAGTAATAACGATATCCGTATCTCGTTAATACTTACGATCATGAATGGTTTAATATTCAATCATATATAATTTGTATCTTACAATCACAACTCCTTAGGATTAACAAATTATTAATATTTGAATCTACAGACTCTATTATATAATTTAATTGAATATTAATTAAATAATAGATCGGTCATAAATTGCATCAACTATATATTAAAAGTGTTTATGTCCAAAGTCGATTGGACCTAAAGTATAACACTTACAATCTATAGGGCTGGATATGGTCCGGTTTGGTTCGGTTCTAACGAGAACCGAACTCGAAATTTTCGGGTATTTAGTAAGTGGAACCGTCGGGTCCAAATTTAATTACGGAACCGTTCGGGTTCGGTTCCATTAGGTTCTGTATTATAATTAAATTTTTTAATATATACAAATTTACGTTAATTTAATTAATGATATATTCAATATTAGCTCTTACAAAATATCGTAGTTCAATCTTATGTGTTTCAAGTTTTTCTTTGTTGAATTCTTCTAAATTTGATTATTAAAATCACAGAAAGACAAAGATAGCGAGCTCAAAATAATTAAAAGAGATGTTGTATAGCTTTAATTCAATTTTCTGCAGTAGAAACGACACTACAGTAGAATAACATATTTGGATAAAATTGAGGTCAATTTGATTAAGTTGATTTTGAACTGAAAATTAGAAATAGGAAAATCATATTTTGTGGTTTGAACTAAATTAACTAGTTAACAAATTTATTTAGAAAAAATAAAATAATTTTACTTATTTAAAATAAATTAATTAAAAAAATTACGAAAATTCGGTTCTTATTCGATTCTTCGGGTCTCAGCCTAAAATCGAGAATCGAACTATACCCGTCGATTTTTGATTCAAATACCCGTTCGGGTATTTAACTTGAGAAGAACCGTCGGGTTCGGTTTGGTTCGGTTTCGGTTCGATCGGTTCGGTTCGAGAGTTTTGTCCAGCCCTAACAATCTATATAAATTTGAAGGCTTCTGATATAGTGCTATACAGCTTCAAGGAGACTTTACATGTCAAAAACACTTCCACGGTCAAGATTCTGATATTTTTCTCGTTACATCGCCCAAATCAGTCACTACATGGTTGAAGGCAATCATGTTCACTTTAGTGAACCGAAAGAGATATCCAGTCAGTAAAAATCACCCTATACTCGAAAACAATCCTCACGATCTTGTTCCATTTTTGGAATTAGAATACTCTTGTAATCAAATCCAAGATCACGTGGCTTTCTCTTCGTCTCGTAGGCTTTTGGCACTCATTTACCCTATTTTTCTCTGCCAAAATTAGTGCATGATTCTGCATGCAAGCTTGTTTATCTTTGTAGGAACCCTAAAGACACTTTTGTGTCCCTTTGGCACTTCACTGACAAGTTAAAGCCCGAGGAGACGAGAAGCAATTCACTTGGAGAGGCTTTTGAAAAGTTTTGTAGAGGAATGAGCGGAAATGGACCCTTTTGGGATCATGTGTTATTCATAAATTTTATAAGACTCAAGTCCTATAATCTAATAATTTTTTTGCCTATCATTTAATTTAATACCCGTTCGGGTATTTAACTTGAGAAGAACCGTCGGGTTCGGTTTGGTTCGGTTTCGGTTCGATCGGTTCGGTTCGAGAGTTTTGTCCAGCCCTAACAATCTATATAAATTTGAAGGCTTCTGATATAGTGCTATACAGCTTCAAGGAGACTTTACATGTCAAAAACACTTCCACGGTCAAGATTCTGATATTTTTCTCGTTACATCGCCCAAATCAGTCACTACATGGTTGAAGGCAATCATGTTCACTTTAGTGAACCGAAAGAGATATCCAGTCAGTAAAAATCACCCTATACTCGAAAACAATCCTCACGATCTTGTTCCATTTTTGGAATTAGAATACTCTTGTAATCAAATCCAAGATCACGTGGCTTTCTCTTCGTCTCGTAGGCTTTTGGCACTCATTTACCCTATTTTTCTCTGCCAAAATTAGTGCATGATTCTGCATGCAAGCTTGTTTATCTTTGTAGGAACCCTAAAGACACTTTTGTGTCCCTTTGGCACTTCACTGACAAGTTAAAGCCCGAGGAGACGAGAAGCAATTCACTTGGAGAGGCTTTTGAAAAGTTTTGTAGAGGATGAGCGGAAATGGACCCTTTTGGGATCATGTGTTATTCATAAATTTTATAAGACTCAAGTCCTATAATCTAATAATTTTTTTGCCTATCATTTAATTTAAGAAAATACTAAATAGTGACTTATGTATTAAAAAAAATAAAAATGACATTGCTATATGTACATCATGTCTCATATATTGAGTTACATAATGTCATATGATACTCTATTATTGAACAATTTAGAATACAATCAAATTTTTTATCCAATCATTTCACTACACATCATCTTCTGATGCACTTTCTAGACTTCATTTTCTTGACAAATAGCATAATCCTAAAAAATATATAAGTACCTATAAATACTGAAATTTATAGAACAATGTAATTTGTTTATCTTATAAATAGCCGAACAGTGAAAATACTATAAAATTGGAGCTAAAAATATTGGGTGAATGTGTGAGACAAAAAAATTAACAACTTGTTCTGTCTTATGTGCAAGAAAAGTCAACTTATTGCCTTGATTTTCTTCCACGTCTTTATAACAACAATTAAACAACCAATAATTGTTAATTTTAAAATCAAATTACTACCATGGTAGAATTTAAGTCAACTAAAGAACAACTTAAGACAAGATCAACCTTATTTCGAATGAAATATTTACTAAACAACAAGCTTAGGATATAGGCAGAAGATCACGAAAATGATAGTTTTTTGGCAACAAAGTTCTCTTTCATTATTATTTTCACAATACTAATCCGACTCCACTGAACTTTTGTTCAGTAATTTGATCAATTGTCTTCACCATGCTTATGGGTAGAAGATTCTTCCAATCTCCAACCTCACCTCGGCGAAAGAATGCTTTATTTTCCACACCATTTGCTAACTTGCCAGTCCTGTTGATTTCTAGCTTGCTTAAATTATCAAAGCCACACAGTTTCAAGATTTCTTCCACCATTCCCGTTTCTTCTTCAACTGCTAAAAATGGGCATCCCAAGAACTGGGCGAGACGTCTGAGATGAACACCAGGCTCTTCTTTCATATCCTCGTACCTCAAGAACAGTATCCTCTCAGAATTTTCCTTGAATTCTTTCCAATAATCTAACACATGATCCCAAAAGGGTCCACATGGGCTCACTCCTCTACAAAACAGGTCAAAAGCGTCTTCGAGCGAATTCGTGCCAGTCTTATCGGGCTTTAAATTGTTTGAGAAGTGCCAAAGGGACACAAAAGTGTCCTTGGGGTTCCTACAAAGATAAATAATCTTGCATGCAGAATCGTGCACTGTTTTTGGCAGGGAATGATAGGGTACATGAGCGGCAAAAAGCCTAAAAGATGACTGATCTTGGATTTGATTATCATAAAGATTTGCTTCCAAGAATGGCACGAGATCATGAGGATTCTTGTTGAGTAATGGGTGATTTTTCTCAACAGGATATCGGGTTCGGTTCACTAAGGTGAAAATGATTGCCTTCAACCATGTAGTTCCTGATTTAGGGGAGGTAATAAGGAGAACATCAGAATTCTGTGCCTGGAATTGTTTTTGACATTTAATGGCACCTTGAAGATGTTTAGCACCATACCAGAAGCCTTGGAATTTATATAGATAAGAGTACATCCATCCTTTTTCTTTTGGCAGAGAGGACATTAACTCCTCAGATTCCATCTCTTCTTCTTGGAAATAATTTGGTGGCAATAGACAAGTTTTAGCTGCCGTCTTTTTAGCTCTGACCTCTTCTTGTGAATACTACTCCATTTACATAACGCGCAATATTATGTGAGAATTCAGGAAATTTCGTAAAGTCAACTCTCTGTCATACTTGTGATTGGTGATATAAAGTCAACTCTCACTTATTCTTACCTGTAATTTGCTCAATTGTAGCTAAATGTTGGAGAAATGTTAAACAATTAGTATACAACGCAATTGCGTTTGAAAAGAAGACTAACCTGATAAAATTTTCCTTAGCAATTGAGTTTGAAAGGAAATATGATAAACAATTATTTCATATAAGCTTGAGAACTAAAATAATTTAAATAAGTACTTATTTCTAAAAAGTAGATATCCACTCACTCAATACAAATTAGGGCAACTTACAAAAATACCCTTAAAATTTGAAGTGTTTTGAAAAATCATATGAAAATTTTTTTTGAAGTAAAAAATACTGTGTAAAATAAAAAAGTGACACAATGTCACTTTTTTTTTTAAAAATTGTCACTTTTTTTTTTAAAAAAGTCATGTAAACTCAAAAAAAGTGACAAAATTTAAAAAAAGTGACACAAACACTCAAAAAATTATACAAACTCAAAAGAAAGTAACACAAACATTCAAAAAGTGATACAAATTCAAAAAAAGTGACCAAAAAAAAACCTCCATTTGTGCAACACCAATAATCATATTCTTAACATAATCAACATGTCTTGGACAATCCACATGATGATTATGTTGGGAAAATATAATATTTTATGTCACTTTTTTATCTTCTTAAAAAGTGACAAATATTTAAAAAAGTGACATAAACTTAAAAGGTGACAAAAACTAAAAAAAGAGAGAAAAAATCTAAAAAAGTGACACAATGTCACTTTTAAAGTTTAGTATCACTTTTTTTTA